GCGGTTGTTCTTCGAAGGGTTTTAAAGATGGCTATGGAAATGGTTTTTCTGCTGGTGAGAAGAGGGTTCTGAATTCTGAACTTTGGCATGCTTGTGCCGGTCCTCTTGTTTCGCTCCCTCGATGAATCGAGACCAACTGGGCTATTCTTTCCTTCTTTACAATATCGGTGGTGGCCGTCGCGATGGAGGAAGAGAGGGAGGATAGGAGACGAGACGAAGAAGAGGAAGAATGGGGGTTGGGGGTTAGGGCAGGGGCAGGGGTCCTGCGTTTTGTGGAAGTTTTTTTTTTCTTCTTCAAAATGAGTAAGGAAATAAAATGGAATAGGTGGAATTTTTTTTTAATTCAAACTTGCTGACTTGGCAGTGACGTGGCGCGTTGACTGTTAGTCAATGCGTTTGACCGTCCAAGTTAACGGTCATACATCGGGTTTGGCCAAATTGTTTATTTTGGTGTATAGTTCGGGCCAGGATGTTATAGATCGAAAAGATTGGTCAGGATGTTTATTTTGGTCAAAGTTTAGGCCATACGAAAATATTAACCCGATGAGGGCGATGGAGAACGGTGCCGAGATCGGAGGAGGACAGAGAAAGGGTGTGAGAGGGAGGCACCGATTTGGGGATTGATCCCGATGTGCGGGAGAGAATTAGAAAAATGGGAATTCTCAGACCCTAGACATGGGATCGAAGACGGACAAATCGTCGAGAATGATTTTCTAGAGACCGCCAGAGAGGGAGATCAAGGAAGTTCGCATTTGGTCTATCCCTGTTCTCTGATTCTGTCGAAAAACAATACTAACATCAGTTACATTAGTTTTAATTAAATTAATGAAAATACAAATTAGAATAACGCGTTGGACAGAAAATAATTCACCGTTAGTTTGGGAGAGGTAGGTTGGGCCATTTGAATGGGCCGCCGAGTTTTGGACATGTTTATTAAACAAACCCAGGTTGTGTCACGTCAGTTCACGTGGACCAATCAAAATTTGCGTTATTGGTGTCGCACTTTTTACCGCGACACCTAGGGGTGTTCAAACGGTGTGGTTACCATGGTAACCGTTTTAACCAATACTATTTGGATAATTTGGTTTGGTTAATTTGGATAATTGGTTTGGTTTGGTTAAAGTTTTTAGCATGTTTGGTTTAGGTGGTTTGGTTTGGTTTCAGACACTCCTAACCAGCCAAACCAAATTAACCAGATAAATAATAAGTCATATATCTAATATATACACATACTTAATACTTTGAATAACCACTCAAGAGTTAAACGTTCATCCCTTTTAGACTCATAAAATATAAAGCTTGATATTGTTCCTATAATGTATATTTGTATATGTAGAGTGTAGACCACAACATATGAACGCCTAATTTAAATAAATCTCATACATTGTATTGGATGAAAACTTGAAAGCAATATCCTTTTCAGCTTATGAAAATTGCTAAAAGATTAAGTCAATTTAAACAAACACAACAATTCATTAACCCATACTATTGTGATAAATTTTTGTTAGGTGAATACTTCTATACTAACCGTAAGATAATTGTCTTAGTTGCATGTATTTATGTTAAGGGTCTACTATAACTATGTGTTGATTGTTGTGTTTTATTCATTATATAAATTGTGAATTGATAAATTAACCGAAATATTTCTCACTTAATGATAATGTGATTTTATTTTGGTTAATTTGGTTGTTATATTAGTGTAGACGGTTTGGTTATGATATTGTATTCCATGGTTAAGGAAATTTAGACTTATTTGATTTGATAATAACCATGGTAACCATTTGAACACCCCAGCGACACCGTAGTATTGCCCTCTAGTATGCAAAATAGTGAAAATACTTTACCGACGTCGAGTGCAACGGCAACTGAGTTTAGCCCAATGGCCGTTTTGTCTGGACAGCGTACTGTTTTAAGGTCCAATAGAAGAACTCGGACTCCTGCAGCCCACGAACGTCGGTATTGAGTGAAGGTATGAACTGACCACAGTTTAAATCGGGCCCAAGCTATAGCTGTGGGCTGATAGTGGGCTAAGAACATTGAGGAGCTACACGTAAACAGTTCGGACTTCGGTCAAAGATGATCCCGAAAGGAACGCCCTTTCCCGGTGGCAGCTCTGAGACCGGAACGCCTCTTGGAAGTTGGAACAGTCAACGGCGTGATCAAGTGGACCTAATAACTAAAGTCAACCACGGACTTATTATGTATTCATGAACCGATGAACGTATTGAACTCTATTGTGTTGCTTAACATGTATTAAACTGAGGAAGACGGGCTGTTGTCGAGTCCGAAAGTCAACTCCATTTACCGCCAACACAAACCTTGTCCCTCGATCGGGTCTTTAATGGCAATACCTTCAATCCTTGGTGGCTTCAAGAACAATCTGAATATGATCCTACCGCCCCCATTCAAAATTACTATAAGTAAACGGTATATGCTTTACGATGAATCTCTCTCAATAATTCGAGTTATAGGGATCAACTGGTTCTTGACATTGGTATTAGAGTCTTCTGTAATCGAGAGGTCTTTTGTTCGAATCTTGGTGACCCCATATGTTTATGTTTATGTTAAACACAGTATCACAATCGTTGGGTCAAGCGTCGATCCACGATCACTGAGACATGTAATAATATAATATGTTACAATATGAAATGCTCACAATATGCCCAACAAAAGAAATACCAACTAAGTGATCTTAGAGAATTCGCCACAAAGTAATTAATAATTAAATTACTATTTATGTTATCACATGCACCCAATATATATTGGGTAAAGAGTAGAACATCGTCCCCTACACAGAACTATAGGCGGGAGTAAATTGAGAAATGGTCCAGAAAAACTTGTATGCATAAAAATTTGGATCACAGCACATGCTATATAGTATAGTAGCATAGCAGAGTTGCCGGTTTCCTGCCGGTACCGCAAACCCTACTGTATGCAAACCCAACCTATCTAAAGCTTCCTCCCAACTGGTGTCTCTGCACCAATTTCTTGCTTCTTTTCTGTCATTTACTTCTTCTTTTATATTATAATAATAACCAAGTCTTTTAGCCACCAACTGATCACTCTTCAGTACTTGCAATATAATATCAACATATATAAATATCATGATCCACTTGGTATCTCTAATTAAGACACATTTCATATTCCTGTTCTATGTGCTGCACCAGTTGGTACACTTTAGGGGACATTTATTAATTACAACTTCCAGTTTTACTCGGACAGGATGAACTGTGCAAGTCTCTGCAACTTTCAAACAGGCCAAGTGGCCACTAGTAGTAGTAGTGCAGTACTCTAAGCTACTAGCTTGGGCCTTAACTAAACCTAATCACCACCTTCAGACTAGCTGGATCATCAACTCAACCACTCTAATCAGCTACTTCTACTATGGTGGATGACAAAAATGCTCACTCAACTTTGAATCTTTAAACATTACCTTCTCAAAAATGCCACAACATTCCCCGAACAGGTGAGGCTGTCAGGCTGATGACTCGATCGTTTTAGTTAGCTCATATTGTAGCCGCATCAAATTAGTTATTCATATTAATCGATCCAATGCGAACCTACATTATCTTCAAACCACTCTGATCTCGCCATCATCTTATCTGAGAACTTATAATGATTAGAGTGTTCGTATGATTTTCCTTATAATTTTAAGAGTTGATACCCCCAATATAGACAATTTGGATGAAAAAAATAACAAACTGAGGGGTCTTTTGAATGCAACATTTTGATGGGGCAATTTGATCAACTAATCTCAAATTAAAGCAATTGGATTAAATAATCTCGTTTGGAAACAAAAAAAAAATGGGAATGCAGTAATATTTTGGCTGATACAATTTGAGGTGCCTTGTTTTTCATCAACTAAAATTGACAGGGGTAAATATGGTGAAATGATTTTTTTTTTTTTTGGCGAGAAGAGATAATTGGATCAAATAACCTTGTTTCATAAATTCACCATCAAAATGTCCCCTAAAGTGTTATAACATTACTTCTTTCAGACTTATCAAAGTTCGATGAGCGATTTGTAATGATTCTAAAAGTCAAGAGGCCATTTATGTAATGTACTCCTTATGCTTTTCAGTGCAAATGACCGGACAATTATCAATTAACATATATATAGATGTATGTACAGTACCATGACAGTATCACTACAGCTTTTATAATAATGTATTTAAACATACATTGGACTTTCACAAATTTATCTAAACTATCATAACCAGTACACCCCAACTAATACTTTATTTGTAATCACAAATTAATATATATTTTATTCAGTACAGGCTACAGAGTATAGACCTCCTATACTAATTAATTCAATAATCTAGATACTAGTTTAAGCATAGACAAAACTGAATCATCCTAATCAATTCATCCAAATCTCACTCCCCAATCTCAGGCACCATGTCTCTTATAGCTAGGGGGTGAAATGGTTTGATAAATGTGGCTCAAAATCAACAATTGGACAGATCGAATATAATTATACTGTTTGGTTCTTAAGTTTAAGAACTTTATAAATATTAAAGCAAAAAAAAGCAAACTAACATTTGAACATACGTTTACAGTTCGATTTTGATTTTCAAAATTTTCTTTACTGTTAAACCGGTTATATCCTGATTTGATCTGAAACCAAATAGTAGCATACTCCTTCTTGCAAACCCCATCTCCACTATCTTGACTCTCTAAATTAAAAAACTAATCCAGCTAATTATCACACATTATTAATCCTTAATTTGACTACAAACTCCATTTCCTAATTGCTGCTTGATAAAATCATAAATTCATAATCACAAAAAACCCTGTAGAAATAAAAATTCTTCCCCCAATTACACTCTATCCCCCACATGACCAACTTGTGCAATTGATTCCCCACTTCCTCCCTTTGCTTCCTTCTTATATACCCAAACTTGTTATACACAGATTCTCATAAAACACAAGCTCCACTCTCCCCACCACCACCACCGTCCGTCCATTTCTCGCCGGCCGAACACCACCGGCAAAAAATGGCCGCCGTTTCCATCTCCCCTTACCACCCAACATCCAAACCACCCAAACCCACCTTCCCGGCTCTCTTCTCCCAGAGGCTCAACCCTTACACCTTCGGCGCCGTCCTCCTCCTCTGCTTCTCCTCCTACTTCCTCGGCGTCTGGCACCACGGCCACGGCGGCGGCGGAGCAACGTCGGCGACCAACCTCGTCTCCATCATCCCCTGCGCCCCCGCCACCACCACCGCAGCCCAGATCAACACCCCCGGCGGAAAAGCCCTCGACTTCACCACCCACCACGCCGCCAAAGGCGGCGGCGGGGGAACCGCTGCCGGCGGTCCCACCGCGAAGAGAAATTTCCCACCGTGCGCCTCCAACTTCAGCGAGTACACTCCGTGCGAGGACAGGATCCGGTCGCTGCGGTTCAAACGGGACCGGCTGATTTACCGGGAGCGCCACTGTCCGGCGAAGGAGGAGATCGTGAAGTGCCGGGTCCCGGCGCCGTTCGGGTACAGAAACCCGTTCACTTGGCCGGCGAGCAGGGATTACGCGTGGTTCGCTAACGTGCCGCACAAGCACCTCACGGTGGAGAAGGCGGTGCAGAATTGGATTAGCTACGAGGGCGACCGGTTCAGGTTCCCCGGCGGTGGGACCATGTTCCCCGACGGCGCGGACAAGTATATTGATGACGTCGGGAAATTGATCAATCTCAAGGACGGGTCCATTAGGACCGCCGTCGATACCGGCTGTGGGGTGAGTAAATTACATAAGTTGAATTAATCTTGAAAAATTATGATGGGGTATACGTACATTTAACCATTTATGTTTCAAAATCTAAAATTTCAGGCACAATTTCAAAACCTTAGCCTATGGTGTATACCAGTAAATCAAAACAGGGGAAATAAAAACAGCTATTGTTGAATTTGCAAATGCATATCGTTTACATCAGATTTCTGGTTAAGAGAATAGTTTTTTGTTATTAATTATTGTACAGGTGCACTGGTTATAGGGATTAGTACATTGCTGGAAAGGAAGTGTTAATGCCTTAATGACATTGATTAGTGAGAGACCTAATAACGATAAAGTATGCTGCGTTGGTTTTCTCTTCTTTTTGGCTTTCTTCTTTTTTTCCTTTTTGAGGGGTTCGATATTTATAATTTTTCCGCTTATGATTTTATATTTTTTTGCAATTTCAATATATATAATTATTATCAAAATTAGGATGCTTTTCAGAAAAGGCGGATAAATTATTTAGGAGAACTTTAGGTATGTTTGGTGAGTAGTTGCTAAGGATTAGGTTCTAAACTGGGGAGGTGATAATTGTGGGGAATCGTATCAAAAGAGGGGGAGCAATTATGGAAATGGGAGCCCTAATGGAAATGGAGTTACTGATTTTTTATTTTATTTTTTGATAAGATTTGTTATTATTAAATAACATTCATTGAAGGATTATTATCAGATTCAAGATTATGAGTGCATTTGGACGTGAAATTTGTATCCAAACCCGTATATTATTTATCATATTTAGCTTGTCCAAAATTAATATGACCATTATTGCTATCTAACAATTCTTTAAATGTCATATTTGTAAGAGTTGGAATACTTCCTCTATCTTTTGTGCTAACATCTCATGTTTGTGATAATTTAAACTCCAATTTCACAATTCTAATTCTCTCATCGAAAGAACTTTTCATTTCATGAATTATAAAAAAAAAATTAATTTAATGCGCCGGATCCAATCTCAGTCAGGACTCTATGGCAAAAAGAAATGTCATCTATGACTTAATTAACTAATTCATAATAATGCATCCTCCTCGAGCAGAGTAAAGAAAGAAGTAACATGACGTGGATCTCACTTCGATCCTTCTCGAGACACGTGTAGCCTCTTCAATCGTCATTAATGCTGCGTTTCTGTCCTGATTAGTCTAACTATCCTTTTATTAATCTTGTTTTTGTGTTGGATTAATTAAGGTGGCAAGCTGGGGAGCGTATCTTCTATCCCGCAACATCTTAACGATGTCGTTTGCCCCGCGGGACACCCACGAAGCACAGGTCCAGTTCGCGCTGGAACGTGGAGTTCCCGCCATGATCGGCGTCCTCGCCTCCAAGCGGCTTCCTTACCCTTCCCGGGCCTTCGATATGGCCCACTGCTCTCGCTGCCTTATCCCTTGGGCCGAATCCGGTAATTAATTATTAACTGATTAAATCCAGTTCACCGTCTTAATTATTAATATTTAATTATTATCGCCAATGAGCAGAAGGGCAGTATCTGATGGAAGTGGACCGGATCCTACGGCCCGGAGGCTACTGGATCCTGTCCGGCCCACCAATCCGCTGGAAGAAATACTGGAAAGGCTGGGAGAGGTCACAGGAGGACTTGAAATCCGAACAGGACAAAATCGAAGCCGTCGCCAAAAGTCTGTGCTGGAAGAAGTACGTGGAGAAAGGCGACATCGCCATCTGGCAGAAACCGCTCAACCATTTCGGCTGCAGCAAATCCAGCCGCGGCAACTTCTGCCCGGCTGCCCAGGACGCCGACAAGGCCTGGTACACGAAACTCGAGACCTGCGTGACGAACCTGCCGGAGGTGTCGGCGGAGGAGGAACAGGTCGCCGGCGGGAAGCTGGCGAAATGGCCGCAGAGGCTGACGTCGGTTCCTCCGAGGATCAGTCGAGGGACGGTCAAGGGCGTGACGGCGGAGAGCTTCCAGAAGGACACGCAGCTGTGGAAGAAGAGGGTGGCGTACTACAAAACCGTGAATAACCAGCTGGACCACGCCGGAAGGTACAGGAACCTTCTGGACATGAACGCCGGTCTGGGTGGGTTCGCGGCCGCGATGGTTAAGGACCCGGTTTGGGTCATGAACGTGGTCCCGGTCCACTCGATCAACACGCTGGGAGCGGTTTACGAGCGTGGGCTCATCGGGACGTATCAGAACTGGTAAGTGGTGGTTAAGTAAATCAATTCTGAAAGTTTTAATTAATTAATTATCTAAATTGAAAAAAAAAATTTGATTTGAAAATTTGGATTGACAGGTGTGAAGCAATGTCGACTTACCCGAGGACTTACGATCTCCTCCATGCAGACAGGCTGTTCACCCTCTACGATGGCAGGTAAATCGAAATTTTTTCTTGATTTTTCTTTTTTTGGATGGGATATATATATATTTTTTTTATGAATAACATAGAATTATGTGAATTTCAGCATTTTGATATGGGAATTACTGAGATTTGGGACTAGGAAGTTACCAAACACATGGTTAGATCACGTGGGGTTACTCTAGGGGACAAGGGAATTAAGTTAATTATAAGTTGGGATCAATGTAATTCATTAATTAATTGGGTAACTATCAAGTATCAAGTTACCTGAAAATAAAAATTTGCCCTCCAATACCAAGCTTGGGAATTTGTTTATATTGTGAAAATTCATGTGACCGTTTGGATTGTTAGGTAGTAAAATGGTATATGATTTATAATTGAATTTTTTTAAAGAGTCATTGAAATGAACTAGTTCTTGATAAGGTATTAGGATCTTTTATTTGAATCCCAATAACCCCTATTTAAAATTAAGCACGCGGTGTTTGATGCTTATTGATGGTTATGCAAACTATAAATAACTTTTGTTTGAAGGGCATGTTAATAATTGGTATATGATTTATAAATTGACCTATTATAACAACTTGAGTTATTAACAACTAATTCTTGTAATGATCTTTTATTATTATATTATATTTTTGCAGATGTGAAATGGAGGACATATTGTTGGAGATGGATAGGGTTCTGAGGCCAGAAGGGGGTGTAATTCTGAGGGACGATGTGGATATGCTGGTGAAGATAAAGAAAATTACTGATGGGTTAAAATGGGAGAGTAAAATTGTGGACCATGAAGATGGGCCTTATGAGAGGGAGAAGCTTCTTTTTGCAGTCAAGTCTTACTGGACTGCTCCTGCTGGTTCTCAGCTCACCTAGTAGTTAATTGTAACTGTGGTTAATTTTTTTTTTACCCCTTTTTTTGTTGTGGTTGTCGTTTTGGTTTTTTTTTACTCCAAATGTTAAATTATTGCTATTCTTTCCAAGCAACCGGTTAAGGTGGGGGTAAGAAGAAGGCCCAATATCCTTCCCTCTATAGCTTGATTTTCTCACATGTTGAAATGGAAAAAGGAACACCAGATCAATGTTAACAACTCTTTGTATTTTTCTACGTTTATAAGGCATAGTTGGTGTAGCTTTGTTGAAGCGTCAATTTCTTGGTTCATATGTTCAACCGTGATGGGTCCCCAATCATGATAGATTGTTATACATAGAGCATTAGCATATGATTATTTCTATATTTCGTTTCGAAATGTGTATTTTTTTTTACAATTCTCTATTATCGTGAATAATTCTGGTGTTAAACTAACGAAACCACTTGATAGTGTCACAAAACACATGGAGTATGAATCGATCAATAATAGTTACGAAATTGATTCGTTAAGGGCCATATATCAGGCATTAGAAATCAGAATGCTGGGTTGGTTCAAAATATTGGTTAGTGGGGGGGTAGCATGTGAAAGTGATGAGCTATGGAATTCAGTTCCATCAGCAAATTTCAGATGATCCCTGAAACTAACTACGATCCAACAATTAGGTAGATCATGCAAGTCCCAGCTTCACATGATTCCCCAGAACAGCTATAAATTGACACACAGTTTCAAACCCATGAGATCATACAGGTAACCAAACCATCCCTACGAAACAGAGTAAAAGGGTAAAAGTTGACATAAAAAAAACAGAGTAGCTCTGCTTTTTCCCCTATGGCGTCGCTCAAGCACCTCAATCCAGCAACAGCACTACTGCTGGCGATCGTCTTGGCCCTGGCGGTGGTTCAGACCCAGGTGTCGGTGGCTCAGGCGCAGGCATGTCCAGTCCAGCTCAGCAACCTCAACGTCTGCGCGCCGTTCGTCATGCCCGGCGCCGCCGCTCCCAGCTCCGAGTGTTGCTCGGCGCTCCAGTCCGTCCAGCATGATTGCCTCTGCAGCACCGTCCAGATCACTGCTCGCCTTCCTTCCCTCTGCAACCTCCCTCCCGTTGGCTGCTCCACTGTCTAATTAAGTGGTACAAGCTACATTGTAAAACCAATGTTCCGCCTAATTAGCTGGAGGACCAGTCCATGGTTCACTGATTTTTACTAATGAAACGTGGTTTTGACTTGATTACTGATCATTAGCTTTGGTTTGCAGATGTAGTGCGGGAGAAGATGGCACGAACCCGATCGGTGGCCGTCCACAGAATAATGTCCCCCCAGGATTACAACTTCTTCTTGTTTTCGTCTCTGTTTTTCTTTTCTTAAAGAACGATCGGCTTGTATCCCGATCTGCAACCAAGCACAAGGAATTGGTTTACGAGAAATAAAAAAAGAAGCGGAAGTGCAGAATAATGAGGGGATTTTTGTGACTGAACTGAACGATCTGTTTACAGTTTCTTTTCTTTTCATATGCAACCATGGAGATAGATCCAGAGAACATGGAAATCTATTTTAAACGATTACGGTCGGGAATGTGAATCACGTTCACATCACAAGGTCGAGTAGAGCTATCCATTGCAACCCAATTACCCAATCAAATTACTATAGAAAGATGGACTAATACTACTGAAGAGGTTTAACAAAGATCGTCAATTTGTTACAGAGGTGAAACTAATTAGATTCATGGAAACTAACAATTATAACTTCCATAAGAGCCCTTCTAGAGTGCTCTATAGCACCCATATTATAAAAAAAAAAAAAAAGTGACCTGTTGGGGAGGTAAACCCACTAAATTACTGGTCTCACATCATTAATAACAATCTTGTAAATAATGAATCAATGTATACAATTTTAGGTACAAATTACAGTTGTACCATATCGTATAGGTACAAGTTTCAGTTGTACCATTGAAGAATTTGTTTCACAAAGTGTAGGTACAACTAATAATTGTACATAGCGTGTAGGTACAATTTTGAGTTGTGCCATAGAGGGATTTGTGAGAAAGTGTATGTACAACATAAAGTTGTACCATAGGTATATGTATGATTTTGAGAAAGTGTAGGTACAATTACAAGTTGTACTATTAGTATAGGTACAAGTTTGGGTTGTACCCATAGAAGGATTTTGAGAAAGTGTAGGTACAATTACAGGTTGTACTATTAGTATAGGTACAAGTTTGGGTTGTACCGTAGAAGGATTTTTAGAAAGTGTAGGTACAACTTAAGGTTGTACCCTAAGTATAGGTACAATTTTCAGTTGTACCATAGAGAAGTTTGTTAGAAAGTGTAGGTACACCTTAAAGTTGTACCACTAGTATAGGTACAAGTTTAGATTGTACTATAGAAGGATTTTTAGAAAATGTAGGTACAAACATAAGGTTGTACCACAAGTATAGGTACATTTGTCAGTTGTACCATAGAGGGATATGTTAGAAAGTGTAGCTACAACTTAAGGTAGTACCACATGTATAGGTACAAGTTTAGGTTGTACCATAGAGGGATTTGTGGGAAAATGTAGGTACAACTTAAGGTTGTACCATAAGTATAGGTACAATTTTCAATTGTACCATAGAGGGATTTGTTAGAAAATAGAAAGAGTAGATACAACTTAAAGTTGTACCATATGTATAGGTACAAGTTAAGGTTGTACCATAGAGGGATTTGTTGAAAATGTAGGTACAACTTAAAGTTGTACCACTAGTATAGGTACAAGTTTGAGTTGTACCATAGAAGAATTTTTAGAAAGTGTAGGTACAACTTAAGGTTGTACCATAAGTATAGGTAAAATTTTCAGTTGTACCATAGAGGGATTTGTTAGAAAGTGTAGGTACAACTTAAAGTTGTACCACATGTATAGGTACAAATTTAGGTTGTACCATAGAGGGATTTGTTGGAAAATATAGGTACAACTTAAAGTTGTACAACTAGTATAGGTACAAGTTTGGGTTGTACGATAGAAGGATTTTTAGAAAGTGTAGGTACAACTTAAGGTTGTACCATAAGTATAGGTACAATTTTCTGTTGTACCATAGAGGGATCTCTTAGAAAGTGTAGGTACAACTTAAAGTTGTACCACATGTATAGCTACAAGTTTAGGTTGTACCACAGAAAGATTTTTAGAAAGTGTAGGTACAACATAAGGTTGTACCACAAGTATAGGTATAATTTTTAGTTGTACCATAGATGGATTTGTTAGATAGTGTAGGTACAAAATTAAGTTGTACCATAGTGTATATGTACAATTTTGAATTGAACCATAGAGGGATTTTTGTGAAAGTGCAGGTACAACTTTAAGTTGTACCATAGTGTAAAGGTACAACTCTAGAAAGTGTAGGTATATCTTAATTCCACAGCAGTTATTTTGCCAGAATGAGTTGTGAGAACGTTTGAGTGGCAGTTGTGTGTTTCAATTTCACGTGAGATTTTGACGGGCGTGAGAATGTGAAGTAGTAGTCATGAAATTTCCTGGGATAGTGAGAACTGCTCTTTGCATCTCATGGGACATCTCACAGCCGTCAGATTTGCCTGAGGAATGAAGCACTGCTTTTTACATCTCACTGAAGTATTTTACCGTCGTGAGATTACTAGTATGAGCTGTCAGATTTCCAGTAGGATACTTTCACCTGTTGAACTATCCCATGTACTTATTATAATGGTGTTCCAAACAGAATGAACTTTTTTCCAGAACTTCAAACTTATGAAAATGATGATTCATAATGTTCTCTAAAGCTTGACACCAGCATTACATAGATCCATTTACAATGTTCTCTAGTAACAGTATATCATATCATATGAGATATCCTATTAACAAAAAGTAAAAAGCAGCCAAAGCAGTAAATCATATTTTATTAAAATTCAAACAATATTTGTGAATTTTGATACCTTTCACCTAGGTTTATATGTTTGAAATTTTAATTAGTTATAAAATATTTTTATGTGTAGAATAATTACATATTTTGTGTTGGGTTGGGTTTTAACTTAACAATATCGCCAACCCGACCCAACCCATTTAAAAACTAAACGTAGGGTTTTAATTTTTTTGGGTGGGTTTGGGTTTAATATTTTCCAAACCGTAGTGCATGGGTCGGATGATTAAAATGGCTAAACCCGGACAACCCAACTCATGTACACCCCTAATAGGTACAAGTTCCGGTTGTACATTCGGACTTGTGGTACAACATGGAGTAATAATGGTACAAGTCGAAAAAACATGGTTAATCTTTGTGTTTATGGATGATACATTGTATTTTGGACAATGACATGTCAAAAATCATAGGAATATGGCACATAATAAGCCATTTTAATATATAGAATATGAGATTTTGCCTCCATGAACTTAAACTAGTTGTATAGTGTTAGATTAGTAGTAATCCAAAAAAAAAAATTTGAAAACAAAGATTGACCGTCACATAAAATTCGTAAATATTGAAATTAACTTGAAGTAAATTTTTTGTACATGTTACTCGCTAAATCCTAGTTATTATCACGGGCTTGGAGTTGAAAATCTCATACCCGTAAAATGTGGCTGTTTAATAGCATAGATTGCTTACAAATTGAAACAACATGTCATGACTTAAGTAGGAATAGAGCTAGCATTCTCTAAGTTTTTTATGCAAGTTTCTACTTTGAACATTCCGATGACATTAGGCTAGGCCATCCAATCTTCCTGCAAAGGCAACCTAGATACAAACGACTCTGGACCATACTCTAAAGTCCCAAAAACATTATACTCTCTAACACTTCTATTGTCCTCCCTCAAAGCCGAATTCCCTAGTGCTTTTATGATAATGTCATTGCAAAAAATCCTTAGTTTCTTCAAGTTCTGAACCCTTTTCAATCACCACCATGAAACCGGCCCCAAACCACATTCAGATATGGATCCCTGGCATCAAGACACAAGTTACCCACATCAAGACATACCTTGTAAGAAGAACACCATAAAGAACATCAAATATAGCAAGATCTGGTTAGCATGACTTTGAAGGCTGGCTTACAGTAACAAGCATCAGAGCAAAAGGCTTCTCTCGATGCTCAATTGGAAGTGGTGGGAAGCTCACATTCAGGACTTGAAGTTTAACCTACCATAAACCAGAACAAAAAATCAGAACTCGGAACCACCTAACAGGACAGTGAGGGGAGCAGTATGGTAAAGACAATGTAAACCTCATCCAAGCCGTCGATGTTATACTGTTCTGGGTTTCATGTATCTTCGATGTCGTATTCCCATATCCATCTGACTTTAAATCTGCAGTCCATGTAGAGAATTTAATCAATTTCCATGAATAAATTGAGGTGTGGAGTAAAAGGGACAGTGACAAGAAACAAGGATTGCATCACTATATACATATTGCATTACATGAATAATCAACTCATTAAGGAATGACCACTTAACATTCGTAATCATGTTTCATCTCATCTGCGATGATTAACAAAGGGTGTATTCCTTGGGTACTCTCAGGTAGCAAGTAAGAGTAATCTTACCTGCGATCAGGATCCGAAATTTGATGGCATGGTTGGGGAAGCTGATGAGCTGGCACATACATATCATCAAAGAATCCACGCGATACTGTAAATCATGCTTTCTATGTCAGTTAATTAGGAAGATAATGGTTGTTATTATAATGTAATAGGAAGTAAACATAAACACACAAGAAAGGGCCAAAAAGAGAAGAGATGAAGGTTGAAATACTCAGCTAGAGAATGAAATAAATCAGCAATCTATCCTAGCTTATTCTTTATATAATGACTGTGAGATCACCCAATTTCACTACCCAAATCACTTTGCATATGAGGAAAATTGTTCTAAGATTAGTCTTCCTTTTTTCTTCTCTAAGAAGAAATCCTTATTTATCCATTGGCTTTGTACCTAAACTGCAGTTAACGCAGTGAAATGCCAAAGGAACTGGCAGATCTCACATCAAATTCATTAAATCATGTTCTTTTCTTCAGACAAATTTTCTTGATAAATATGGGTTAGGCGTATCACATGAATCGCAGCAAAGCAAGAGTAACACTAGTGTAGGAGTCGTCAAAGCAGACAACAATCAGAACTTACATCGAAGACCATCCTTATCAGATTCTATAATTTTGGCAACAATAATCTCTCATGTAAAAGGCCGGAATACCACCATTCTAAATTCTACCTGCAAGAATCATAGCGAAGCATTATCCCCAAACGCATTGGTTCGTTTCCACCAGCGTTAACAGAAATAAAGAAAATCACACCAATTCACTAATCAAGCTTCATTGATTCACTTCAACAAAAGCAATCAAACTGACAAAAGATGTACGATGTAACTCACAGTGTAGGTTGGAGCACCTTCTCCGGCATGAATGAAGCCGCCATATATATTTCTAATGTCATAGATGGACACACAGAGTCCCAAGTTCAAGATAACCTTACAAGCCATATCATGAAGGAAGAAAACC